CGTGCCGTGCCGTGCCGGTATGGAAGGCGCTACCTGGCGTGAGTTATTGCTGCCACCCATTCGTCGCAGTCCTTGGCATCCTCCGTCCGCAGCTCCAGGGTTTTCTGATTCTCATGGTTGAAGTTCACGGTGAAATAATGCTGGGAAGATAAAGGCGAGACGGGGTTATGACGTGGGCTGGGAGGGGGAGCGCGCTCGGCTCAGGAAGCGGGGTGGAAAATCCACCCCGGGGCATTTCGGAGTGGGAGGCCTGGGGCTTGTCTTGGTGGAAAAGCGCCTGCAAAATGCTTGGGAGAAGCAGGACCGGCAGGAGGGGGCGTGCGGCTGCTGAGCTAACGCTCCCCAAAGGGATTCGGGGCCACGAGAGGTGAGAAACCAGGTCCGTGCCCCACAGCCCTCCCCCCGGCATAGGGCCCAGGCATGCACCCGCCACCCCACACGTGTCCGAGAGCCACGGACGCCCCCGTGACATGCCCCCGCCTGGCTGAAACCGAAGCCCCGGTGCCTCCTTGACTTTGCTTTGACATTCAGCGCAGCCCCGACTCCATATGCCTGCGGTATGCAGAAGAGGAGGCTCCAACGGACAACAGCATAATAAGGCTCGGTGCGTGAACTATATTTAGCTTCCCTTGACATTTACAGTATTTGTGTTAATTGTGATTGCAGTGGCAAGCCGCACAGGCACTCGCGTTTGCTGTTCCTGAGCTTTCCCGCGGTCTCCTAGGAAACAGGTAATATACTATAACGCTGGATACTACGCCCAAGAACTGAACTAATAAGCAACCTATTAGAACGAGCTCATGCTGCCATTATCTTCTCCTCTGTTGTAAAGTTGAGCCAGAGACCTGAATTAATTAGACGGTGGCAAAACGAACAGCTTGCAGTTTCCTTGCTCGCGGAGGCGCGGAGATTTCCAAGGACCCCAGGTGGCCGGGGGCTCGGGGCTCGGGGCCGGCGCGCGGGAACGACCGAGCCGGAGACAGGCGATGCCTCGCTGCGGTTTGGGGGTTGCAGCGAGCAGGCCAAAGGCACGGGTTTCTTGGCGAGTCTCTCCGTGGGTGCGAGGCCGGAGGAGTTGCTGGGGGTGATGGAAAGTCACCCCTGTCACTTCCGGTGTTACTGGCCCGTCTCGGTGCTCCTCCCAGCACTGGTTAACCAAGCGAGCTGGCACCGACGGCCTGGAGTGACTGCCGGCGGCTTGTATTTCTGCAGCAAACTCAGGCCCGAGCGGCGAGGAGGAGGACGAGCCAGCCGCCTGCACTAGGAGTCGGGCACCGGGCTAGGGGCGTCTTTGGAGGCCAAGTGCACTCAGGCAGCCCCGAGGGTCTTTGCCGGGACCCGCATCCCTGATTGCCCCCAGCCTGCTCATAGCATCCCGCCGTCTGCCCGACTTCTCCCGTCTCCTTGTACGAGCGCAGCACCGGCTGGCCAAGGGAAGGGGCGACTGCCGAGACAAAGCTTTGCCGGAGCGGAGGGGCTTGCAGCCCACCCGAATGCAGCCAGGTGGGATCAGCACAGCCTCCTCGCCCAGGGGTCTGGGGGTGCACGGAGCAGGCTCCTCCTCGGCACCCCTGCTTGCTGCTCCCGGGGGGCATGCCGTGGGAAGCACTCACACGGCGTTGCTGCCTCCTCCCACGCCCAGCCACCCCCGGGCAGCACTCGCCTGCGGACGGAGACACCCCTGCTCCAGCAGGACGGGCCTTCGCCGTCCTCCGCCGATGGGCTCCTGCCTGGGGAACTGGACCCCGAAGTCGCCGGTGAACTGGGACCACACGACGGGCACCGCTGGACCCGGGGCCCTGCCCTGTATCCTCAGCTCGAGGCAGGGTACAGAGAAGGGCCGAGCCCCAGGGCTCACCAGAGCCGCCGAGAGCTTCGCGCCAGCCAAAGAAAGGAGGATTTCTTGTTGTGGAAAGCCCGCGTCCCCTCAGGACTGTCACAGGTTTGGAGAAGTGTTTCGAGTTGGGGCATCAGTTATAGAAGTGCATCTTATTTTATGTTTTACCTGCTTTTACCAGCGATGCTTTTTTTTGACCAGCAGCTGCCCCGAGCCTTTTGGGGAACAACTGCATAGAAATCCAGCGACGTCTTCGCGTGGCTCCCGTAACCACTCCCAGCACGACAAGGGGAGCACCGGGAGGCAATCCTGTCGTCACCTTTTCACAACGCACGGCTTCACGCCTGCAAGCTGTCTCGGACCGCTCGGCCGGCCGGCGTGGGCTGCAGCCGCATGGGCCGACGTGCTGACCGCAAGGACATCGGCAGAGCCAGGCCGGGCTGGACAAACGGTCTGTCGAGCCCAGTCTCCCGTCTCCAGCAGTGGCAGGAGTGGATGTAATAGAGGGAGAGCATCGCTCTAGCGCGATCCATCCCCTATTCAAGTAAATGCACTATTTAATCTATATGGAAAGAGATTTTAAAACCACTGTGAAAAAAAAGATCAGTCTAGAGCAAGGGTGAACCCTCCCTGGCTCCTCCATTTCCTAGGTTAGAGATGGCAGAGGAAACCTCTCCAACCCATCTGTCCCAGCGGATTTCCCTGCAAACGCACCGCTACGGGCGCGTGCGCACATCACCGGGTTTGTCTCGCTAAAGCGATGTCGGAGCAGCAGGCGAGGAGCTCGCAGCTTCCCCGCTCGCCTCGTCTCAGGCACGGAGAGGCTCTTGGCGAGCCCGGGAGCTCACGTAACCTCCCGCACCCAGGACCCAACGCGTGGGCCTTTTCCCACCTCGCTTTCCAAGCTCCAGCAACCGGGTCCGGCTTGGCTTTCTTCCCACAGGCCCGGGAAGCGCTCGGACCGCTGGCCCCCAAGTGCCCTGTGCTCTGGGTCACAGGGGAGGAGCGGAGGCCTCCCGTGACTGCCCACCGCGTCACCCAGACAAACCGACCCTGTGCCACGAAGCCCCGGAGACCCCGGGACTGCAGCCTTGCACCCCCTTTCTGCCCCGCTGTGCTCAAACTGGGGCTCGGTGCCACCCGATGAGCCCCCAGCACCCCTGCTTTGCTCTGGGTGCCCCGTGCCACGCCCCAGCTTGCAGCACCCAGTCTTTGGCCCTGGAAGTGGGGTGGCTCCCCGGGGTCGAAGCCACGGCCTCTCTCGCAGGGCACTCGGGGCCGAATTCAGGGGAGCGGTGCATCGCCCAGACCACCGACATGGTAGAAACAGCTAGGTCGCCGGGTCAGACGGTCCCACGTCCTTCCGATTTCCTACCCCCATTACAGTACCGTCGGGCAGAGCTGGGGAGGGCTCGGGGGCTGCCAATACTCCCCCTGCGCGTCGACCCATGTCTTCCACAGAAATCCTCACCAAGCCAACGTGCATTACATGAACGGCGAAGCAATCGTTAGCCTGCCTCCGGGGCGGCCAGGGGAGCGCAGGGATCCGCAGGGAAGCAGCACGGCACGGGTTGCACGGCGGGCACGAAACCAGGACTCAGGAGCAAAGCTTGGCCAGGAAGGATGCGTGCGGGTCAGGAGGAAGTTCAACAGATATGGGATTATAGGAATGGCATCACACGGGCTGGAAGGGACCTCACATCTACTCCGGCCCCTGCTCGAGGCAAGACACCTCCCAACTAAACCATCTCAGCCCAGTGTCTCAGCCGCTCGACCCCCGCACGGGTGAAGATTTCACCCTGTCTCTAGGGGCGCTTGTACACGCTACGCGTTGTTTAGATACACGTCACAAAACGGCACCAAAAATCGCCATTTTTCTAGGGTAGCTGCATGTGAAAATACACGCTGACGTCTTTTTATCGGGGTAAGCTCCAGCTCTTGGCCACTCTCAGAGTCAGAAAGTCCCTCCTCGTCTCCAGCCTTCGTTTCCCTGCCGCAGCTCGAGGCCGTTGCTCCTTGCCCGTCCCCTCCAGCCCCTCCGGCCTCTCTGCCGTCCCCCTCAGGGGGCCGAGGGCTGCTACCAAATCCCACCTTGGTCTTCTCTTCTCCAGACGAAATGCCCCTAGCTCTGTCAGCTTGTTTCTACAAAGAAAATCCATCTGCCAACTGGTGAGAAGCTCCTTGCCCTCCTTCCCGTCATTCACTTCCCCTGCTTTGCTGCTAACAGGGGGGAGGGAATACCTGCAACCCTGAAAGAGGAAAAAACAGCCGATTGCTCCTGTATTTGAATACTCAAACTAATTTGGAGACAATGGAAACATCCAGCGGCCAGCCCTGGGGAGCAGCAGGGAGAAGGCCCCGGGGGGCAGGATGGGGTCTCCACCCCGCGAGACGCCCGGGCAGGAGGTCCGCGGCTGTCCTCGCCCAAGGCACGCCAGGCTCTTTGCACGCCGGCTCCGGCTGCGCCTCCCGCCCCCCGCCGGAGCCGGCCGGCCGGCCGGGCGCCATCGCTCCCGCGCCTTTGATGGGAGGCGGACAGGTTTCGCCGGCCTGGAAAGTTAATTAAGAAGCTTCCGCTGTAACGACAATGCAAATGTCAGTCCAGCCAGGAGCGCTTTGAAGGCTCGAGCCCTGCGCCTCCGTGCCGCGTGCCAGCCCGAAGCGAGCCGGGCTTTCATCTCTCCGGCAGCAGAGAGGGACCCCGTGCCCAGCAGCAAAGGGCAGAGGTTTCCGGGAAGGCCTCGGGGACTCGGCTGAGAGACCGGGGGTAAGGACAGAGGAGCACGTGTCCCGCTCCACCCCGAAACCCAAGGGACAACCTGAAAGCGTCCAGCTGAAAAGCAAGCCGCCGCGGCACACGCCGGCCCGAGGCATGCATGCATGTCTGCAGCCGCTTGCACCCGAAACACCGAATCAGCCCCAGGCCCAGGCTCCTCCAAGCCTCCTCGCAGCTCCCGGGGCACAAGGCACCTCGTTCTGCTCCGAGGAGCGCTCTGCAACCGCGGCCCCTACGACCGCCAGGCTGGCGACCTCCGCGCGCGGCCGCTCTGCTACCTGGGAACGCCGCCAAGCCATCTTAAAAAAGCTCCGAGCGGTACAAAATGCAGCAGCCTGTTTGCTTAGCAACACAGATCTCCACGAACACGCCACGCCGGGCTCGGCGCTCTGCAGCGGCTCCCCGCCGGAGGAAGGCTCCAGCACCGGCTCTTGCTATCCCAAGCCTTCCCCAGCAATGGCTCTGGCTCCCGGAGCTTGCTTCGCCCTCCGACCCATCCTTTCCTGCGGCGAGCGAGCGGGGACCGGACCCGACGGCACAGCGCCCTGCCCCGGGAGCTCACGTAACCTCCCGCACCCAGGACCCAATGCACAGGCCTTTTCCCACCTCGCTTTCCAAGCTCCAGCAACTGGGTCTGGTTTGGCTTTCTTCCCACAGGCCCGGGAAGCGCTCGGACCGCCGGGCCCCCAAGTGCCCTGTGCTCTGGGTCACAGGGGAGGAGCGGAGGCCTCCCGTGACTGCCCACCGCGTCACCCAGACAAACCGACCCTGTGCCACGAAGCCCCGGAGACCCCGGGACTGCAGCCTTGCACCCCCTTTCTGCCCCGCTGTGCTCAAACTGGGGCTCGGTGCCACCCGATGAGCCCCCAGCACCCCTGCTTTGCTCTGGGTGCCCCGCGCCACGCCCCAGCTTGCAGCACCCAGCCTTTGGCCCTGGAAGCAGGGCGGCTTCATCACCGGCCCGAGCCCGGCTTCAGGGACTGCCGTAGCTCCCCAGGGTCAAAGCCATCAACCTACCGCTAGTGCCCCAGAGAGGGGTCCAAGGGGAAAGGAAAGGGGCCACCCCCCTTCTGCAGCACCCCGAGTTGGACTACTGGGACAGGAACGTGAGCTTTGTTTTTCTGCACTCGAAATGCCAGAGTTTGGGAAGAAAACCAAGGCACTGGGAGGAAAAAGAGAGCGAGACGGAGCGTCTGTGCCTCGCCAGGCAGTCAGGCACTTCTCATCGCCTGGCCCGACTCGGAGCAGCTCCATCCCGCCTCTGCGGCATCCCAGCGAGCGTCTGGGCCATGAGGCACGGGCTGCTTTGCAACAGGGCATCCCCCTGCTCCGTCCTGCCGGTCAGCCTCCCCCGGGCCGAGCCAAGCTGGCAACGCACCCGG